GGGGGGCGGGCTGCGAGGGACGCGAGCGCCAGGTGAGAGTCTCTGCGCGCGGTGTGCACCGCGAGGCAGGCCGACGAGACCCTCCTCCCCGCTGACCCATAGGTGACACCATGGGCGCTCGGGCAAAGTCCGTTTCCGATCCGCATCGTCTTATCAGAGCGCGGCCACCATAGAGCCGTCAGTGCATCAGCGAGCCGTGGGTGGTGGGCAGCCTCACTAAGCGACAGGGCCACCTGCGGGCGCAACGCTCACCCCACGCGGTGGTCTGGGCCACCGTCTGGGCCACCTTCCATATCGACACGCGCTCAAGATGGCGCAGTACGCGATGCTGGCCACCCTGGTGCTGCTGCCGCTCGCCCGGCTCTGCCCGTGCCCGCCGGCGCCCGCCGCCTCCGAGGTGTGCGGCTCGGACCACGTGACGTATCCCAGCCAGTGCGACATGGAGTGCGCCGCCGTGTCAGAGTTCTCACTCCGTGGGATGGCAGTCTGGAGGCAGCCGTCGGGCCTCTCCCTGAAGCACCCCGGGCCGTGCTCCCCCGAGGAGGTCGCCCTGGGCCGCCCGGTCGACGTCAACGCCACCCGGCCGACCGGAAGGTACGCGCAGCACCGGTCGCGGCGATCGGCCACCGAGGAGGTGCGCAAGTGGGACGAGTGCACGAACAGCCAGGTGAGTCTCTGTTCCCTGAGGCAGGCCGACACCACCCTCCTCCCCGCCGACTGACCGCCCCCGCCCCGTGTTGCAGTGCGGCAACGCGACCTGCAGCGTGTGCACGGACGACCAGCGCCGCTGCGTGGACATGTGCCACGTCAACTGCCTGTGCGTCTGCAGCGGCCAGCCCCGAGGCGGCATGGACGCCGAACTGTGGTGGGAGTGCTTCGGCGGGAAGGGGCGATGCTGGCACAAGTACCGGGCGTGCAAGGCGAGCTGCGGAGGGCAGGAGTGCGAGGACTCGTGCGAGCTGGACCAGAGGGAGTGCGCCTGCCAGTGCGCGCAGCAGGCCGACAACAGCACCACCGAAGCCGTGACCAACATCAGCGGCGCCACCGAGGTCGTGACCAACACCAGCGCCACCACCGAGACCGTGACCAACACCAGCGGTGCCACCGAGGCCTCCACCGAGAACGTGACCAACACTAGCGGCGCCACCGAGGCCGTGACCAACACCAGCGCCACCACCGAGGCTGTGGCCAACACCAGCGCCACCCCCGAGGCCGTGACCAGTATCATCAGCACCAGCACCGAGGCCCTACACTCCTCCAGAGGTCGGTCAGCCACAGCGGACTGGAACTGGCGAAAGTACACGGCTTGTGTCGAGGAGGTGGGTTCAGTGAGTGAGTGAGTGAGTGAGTGAGTGAGTGAGTGAGTGAGTGAGTGAGTGAGTGAGTGAGTGAGTGAGTACACTCAGGCATGCCAGACTGACTCGCCCACCCCTGTTCCAGAGTCGCGAGTGCGGCCGCGGCCCCTACGGCTGGCTCCGCGAGTTGCGCCGGGAGAACTCGACGTGCGCCTGCATGGGGCTGCCCGGCGGCGACCTGGGCTCGTACCGCCGGGTCGGGGAGTGCCTCGAGCGGGAGGACTGCCGCGGCCGGGAGGCCCGGTGCGAGGACGCGTGTCGGACGGACGACTGCAAGGACGCGTGCCGCCTGGGAGAGCTCCGGTGCCGCTGCGTCTGCAACCACCGTGGTCGGGCCAGCCTCGGGAACAACGTCACCGCCGACGCCGAGGAGACCGGCGAACGAATCAAACCCGCACAAGACGCAAAATAAATTACCATTTTAAAAAATCTAATTAAAAACCCATACGAATATAGCATATAGAAACTCTGAGATTGGTCCGTGTCGGCTTGAAGCACTGGTCGACCCCCTCGCGACGTCACATAACCTCTGTTCCGCTACAGCACTACTCACCGTAGCTGCTGCTGCTGCCGCGTTGCTGCTGCTACCGCTCCCACAATGTGCACCTTTTGACTTGGACGGTCCATCACAGCTGTGATGTGGGCATTTGTTGAATAACCGACACGTAGACTTCGGTGAAACTCAAATTACGATAGATTCGAAACAACACAAAAACACAGGGTAGCTTCGACACTAAGACTGACGGAGGGTAATCGAAAGGGAATGCCCGACACACACTCTCCGAGATACCAACCTATGCGTAGCCAGTGTTACCAAATAACACACATTCAGATACATGTTAGTTGTCACTGTATTGTTTAGTGAGACAAGAGGTTAGTAAAGTTCCGTCTAGGAACGGATCGTGAAAGCAAATGATACAAATTCCACAATTCTATTCCAGTCTGTAATATTCCAGTGGGAGCTCACGGGACGCATATTACTTTGCACAAAGCTAATTTACAAATCTTAATTCACATTACGTTTCGTGCGTTTTTAAAAGAAATTCCATGTAATAATGGTTGCGGTGTAGTGTGCAAAGGCCTGAAGGGTGCGCTGGCGCGATTAATCTTGTGTGTTGGCGGCACTGTCACGGCCAGAGGACCTTCCTCGCCCCTCC